TCTCGCTTTGTCCATACAAATATTTCACAACCAAACATTATGCCAGCAACGTGTTTGCCTTCGCTATAACACCATTATATAACTATGAATATTCCAACAGCCGCAAGCACGAGTCATTCAACGTATTACATAAAAACTTCACACGTCAGAAGCAATCTCGGCATAGCACTCAAACCATTGCAGACTTGGCTCTGTTTATCTTCCATGCAACACTTCGTTGAAGGTGAAGGTCGCGTCTGCCACGTAAATTCTGAAGTGGATTTCGCAGAGGTGTTCAGTTTGATCTTTGGTGTTTTTCCACTTTTGTGAAAGTTCATCAACTTATAATCACCTCCAATGATCTCCGTTTATTTTCCTTAACAACATTCAAAATATAGAGATCGATACAAACTACGTTAAGTGATATATCCCCTCAGGAAATGATCGTTGGATAAGCGGCAAGCAGACGACAGCGTTTGGACGGAGTCGTCAGACGCAGCTATGAGAATGCATACTGAGTTGCTGTTACGTATGTTACAGTAAACACACGTGTCTGTGCGCGACACGGGATGTTATCTTTTATATGTGATAAACAAATAACCATTTGGCCTGACAAGCGCTTGGTAGTTGACCGGAAAGTGAACGAAGCGAACTTATAATCTAGGACGGTTGGGTGTTATTTGGAGGAGAGCAAATGAATACGGTTTTACGCCGCGTTTAGCAATTATCCAGCCATATAGGGGACAACAGAAATGGGCTTCACACATTGTACCCATGTCGGGTTTTCGAAGGTTTTAACCACTAGGCCACCCCGCCGCCCGACAAGAGTGAGTTGGGTTTTACGTCACTTTTAGCAATATTGCAGCAATATTGTAATCAGGAATGGGCTCAAAGTAACTAAATTTAAACTGTTTGTTGTACAGCAAGTTACAAATATATGAACTGAATGAGTGAGAGAGTCAGTTTTAGTTTTACGCCATTTTTAGCAATATCCCAGCAATATCACGGCGGGGGACACCAGAAATGGGCTTCACACATTGTATCCATGTGGGGAATAGAACCGGGGCCTTCGGCGTGTAGAGCGAACGCTTTAACCACTAGACTATCCCACCGCCCCCCGCCGACAAGAAGAAGATAATTCTAATCAGCGACAGAGTGCAGAATACATAGCAACATGACTACTAGCAGTTGTAAAGAAAATGAATAAAATTTGATATTACACACTGACACAGAAATATAGTTATTTTAAGGTTCAGGTAGGTGAAACAGATTTTCTTTGAATGAAGATCTTGTAAATTAAAAAATAATTTGTGCAGAAGGTGTTGGTGGATTTAGCAAGATTCCAAGTCATATTAGTGCATAACGGTTGATGACTAGATCCAGCTTCAGATCTAGAAAACAGGGTATTGATCGAAAAGGGTATTCATGCTATAGATCGTTAGCCTTTTAGTAGGAAAATACTCCTTCTGTTGATGGAGTGTTCGATTGCCTATCTCTTTCAACTCGGGGGCGAAGGGATAGCCTAAAGGTTAGAGCCGGGTTCGATTCCCCACGTGGGTACAATGTGTGAAGCCCATTCCTGGTGTCCCCCGCCGTGATATTGCTGGAATATTGCTAAAGGCGGCGTAAAACCATACTCGCGCTCTACTATTCCAGTACGATATAAGGGGGCGGTGGGGTAGCCTAGTGGTTAAAGCGTTGGCTCGTCACGCCGAAGACCCGGGTTCGATTCCCCACATGGGCACAATGTGTTAAGCCCATTTCTGGTGTCCCCCGCCGTGATTGCTGGAATATTGCTAAAAGCGGCGTAAAACTAAACTCAGTCAGTCAGTCAGTACGATATAAGAGTGCACATGGACTAAGTACCGAAGGGATATTTTTTTGTTTGACGCATTTGTCTAAATTATGGTGGCTGATAAAAACAAAGCACATATTAACCATGATTTGATAAAAGTCCTATTTAACTGATTAAGCTGAGTTTCCTCATCCCTTATGTGAGTCGACAGTCTAAACTGTTTAGGGAATGATTACGCCCGTTCGATGAGATCTCCGTGCGAAGAAGCGCCCTCGACACCAACCGTTGAGTGACACGATTCAAGGGCTGATAAAATGAGGAATCCACATCTGACAGCTGAAATCCGATAAAAAATTACAAAAGACATTCAATTGTGAAGAGCATACAGCATGCTTAACTCTGTCACATGACTTTGTTTTTATTCGGAGGTCATGAGAACACTGGATGATGGAATTGAATACACATTGAAGAAGTTGAAGTATGTTCGACTTTAAGTCCGAGTCATGGTTTTATTATTGAACAATGAGAGACGCGCGACGTCACCGAGAACGCTGGCGTCGCGAGTATCGCTGCGCGGTGATTTAGGGGATGAATTTAAACGTTTTCAGATTTGAAGGTGTTGGGTGTTTCATTCATGGGAAATCTGAAACCATCTTCTGACGCTGTCGGATCCAAGTGATTTACACGGTTATCAAATACTAAATTGATTCCGAATCAATTTGTCCAACAAACAGATTGTAGTGCACACTGACTTTTCTGTTACAGTTCGAGTAGAAGAGACGCCTTTCCCCGTTTCCGAATGATAACACAGATCTGCATGTTGCAGTTTTCAGGGGCTGTGTCTGAACGTTGTAGTTTACAGCGGCCGTGTTAAGGCAGATCTGAACGATGTAGCTAAAGGCGGTTGTGTTAACACAGGTCTGAACGTTGCATTTTACAGCGGTTGTATCTTTCAAAAGTGATGCAAACGGTTACGTGGAACACAAACACACATACACGCACGCACGCACGCACACACACACACACGCACGCACGCGCACACACACGCACGCACGCACCATATTTGAAATATGCTATCCTGGGAATAATGACAGACGGCAACAACAGCTATAGTATGCTTGAACTGTATTAAGCTCCTTTACCAGTAAATCAGAAACGTTGCTTTTGGCAACCCGGATGTGAATGAAGCGTGATGCTCGAACGTTTAACCATGAGTGTTCCAAGCCAATGTTTTCCCCCAACACTGCTGTGGTATGGTACTAATGGCTCACCAACATTCTTGTTCACAAGACCTAAAGCACCGACAGACAAGACCACAAACAGGCCAACTGATAATGTGCTTGTTATGAGAGGGTCAGTCTAAGTAAACTTAGGCTCAGTATTATTCGCTACACTGCTACACTGAGTCTAACCAGGGATATAGAGTCTCCCTGGTCTAACAAAACCTTGTGGAAGGTGGCGTCAGCTGACCTTTTCAATGAACCAATCAGAACACAGCTTACCAAATCGCGAAAGTTAACATTCACACACATACCTTTTGAACTTTTATCTCGAAAGGGGGCGGTGGGGTAGCCTAGTGGTTAAAGCGTTGGCTCGTCACGCCGAAAACCCGGGTTCGAATCCCCACATTGGTACAATGTGTGAAGCCCATTTCTGGTGTCCCCCGCCGTGATGTTGCTGGAATATTGCTAAAAGCGGCGTAAAACCAAACTCAGTCAATCAGTCAGTTTATCTCGAAAACGTTTTGTACCCGAACGATTCCGCATGCTATTTTAAGTACGATCGCTTCCGATTGATGCACATGGAGCACGCCACAACAGTGAGTAAACAGTCGGTGAAAATAGCGTTTTGTCAGTATTCAAGGATGTCAGCTTGCGGAAATATTAGCTAATGATAGCCATGTCAACAGAAACCCAAAAGCGTATATTCTGCAGGCGCAACAGACCCAGGGAAGCAGGCGGCATCTAGACTTGCCTGTTATAGAGATTTACTTGCTAATAATCCATGGACTTTGAGCAAGGCTATTGCCCATTGTAAATCAAATACATTTAAGTACCTGAATGTTTCGACTTATCCAAGTGTTCCACACAACCAAATGGGGATTCAGGGTAAGCTCTATATTGTCGGTGCAATGTTTTACTTGCATTTTACCGATGTGTTTAAACTATAAATTCGACATCGTTATTTTTCCAGCGTTCTAGGTTATTTCATGTACATGCTGTTGTGTTTCTGTAGATATTTGTGCTGGTCTGTTATTTATTGTGCTAGCCAACTTATATAGAACGCATTCCGCTCTACGGGCCGACACTATGAAATCCAGACCACGGATACTGTTTTGTTCGTGTCGAAGGATTACTTTACTAAGAATTGGTGAGCTACCCATTTATAAAAAATATTGGTAGACGAGACGGTATTCTACGTCAATATCGCTATTGTAAGATATGTAAATCAAATTCTGTAGAGGATGAATTGCATTTCCTCTATAAATGCCCAGTATATAAAGACGCATTTATTACGCGTTAAATACTTTGAAAATATACCTATATACATTAATGAAGATGTCATGATCTATGACCTTCAAAATGATAATCCAACTCATATACTGTCCATCTCAAAATATGTTAAAGATGCCTTGATTTTGCGCAGTTGTTGTTTGACTGTTAGCAACTTATAAATGTATTTAATATGTTAACTTTGCACATGGGCCGAAGGCCTTTCTACTGAATAAAAGAAAGATCGAAAGATTGAATTCCTTTAGGTAATGATCTCAGCTGAGAAGATAGTCTGTCTCAGTCTCGGAACAGCATTGTTTTCCTTCGGACCATACCTTTCTGCAACGCTATAGCAACATTCTAGTTCTGAATCTCCCATCTCACAGGATCTCCTTTTAATTTAAAATCATTAGTTTCATTAATTTCTATCACAATTATATATGTATATTCAGAGACTAAGCGTTAGTCTACAGTGAACACTGCACCATGTGACAGTACTGCAATTGTGAATATGGTCTGTCTTAGACTAATGCTTAATCTCTGAATATATATAATTTTGATAGTAACAAACAAGCCCATTTATATTGAAAAGGAGCCCTAGGGAGACCAGAGATCCTGAACCTGAGGAAATCTAGACTTGCTTTATTTAGGGCTTTAGCACTGTAGAGAGGGCTTGGCAGTAGGGAAATTAATGTGGTTCAGGGACTGTGAGACAGACTAGGTCTAGGTCTGTCTCACAGTCCCTGAACTGCATTGTTTTCCCTTCCACCAGCCCATTCTTCTCCTTCCGCCAGCCCATTCTTCTCCTTCCGCCAGCCCATTCTTCTTCTCCTTCCGCCAGTCCATTCTTCTCCTTCCGCCAGCCCATTCTTCTTCTCCTTCCGCCAGCCCATTCTTCTCCTTCCACCAGCCCATTCTTCTCCTTCCGCCAGCCCATTCTTCTCCTTCCGCCAGCCAATTCTTCTTCTCCTTCCGCCAGCCCATTCTTCTCCTTCCACCAGCCCATTCTTCTCCTTCCGCCAGCCCATTCTTCTCATTCCTCCAGCCCATTCTTCTTCTCCTTCCGCCAGTCCATTCTTCTCCTTCCACCAGCCCATTCTTCTCCTTCCGCCAGCCCATTCTTCTCCTTCCGCCAGCCCATTCTTCTCCTTCCGCCAGTCCATTCTTCTCCTTCCACCAGCCCATTCTTCTCCTTCCACCAGCCCATTCTTCTCCTTCCGCCAGCTCATTCTTCTCATTCTTCTCCTTCCACCAGCCCATTCTTCTTCTCCTTCCGCCAGTCCATTCTTCTCCTTCCGCCAGTCCATTCTTCTCCTTCCGCCAGCCCGTTCTTCTCCTTCCGCCATTCCATTCTTCTCCTTCCGCCAGCCCGTTCTTCTCCTTCCGCCAGCCCGTTCTTCTCCTTCCGCCAGCCCATTCTTCTTCCGCCAGCCCATTCTTCTCCTTCCGCCAGCCCATTCTTCTCCTTCCGCTAAAGCCCTAAATGAAGCAAGTCTAGATTTCTTCAGGTTCTGAATCTCCTATCTCACTCGGGCTCCTTGTCAATTTAAAAGGTATTATTTGTTTCTACCAAAATTAAATATGTTCAGAGACTATGCGTTAGTCTACAGAGTATATTGCCACCCAGCTGTAGAGAAGATGTTTTTTGCTGCCTGGGTTGCGTCGCCATAAAACTGGTAATTATGCTTTCTTCATCAATACCTAATTAACACATTACATTCCTAATGCTAGCGTGTTCTTCTGTATGCTGTTTGACAAAAACTCAGTTTCTAAAACTTTGATGTTAAGGAGACACGAACGAAAAGATGCCCCCTGTAATTTTGATTTCAATTGAAAAGCCAGATCGTATTATTTCATGTTTTCGTTAAAGCCACTTTCTGGAATAAGGCTAGACTCTGTGTCTCTGACGAAAGATGCGGGGATTCAGCGGGGAGCTCCTTGTATGGTGAAATTATGATTTAATGTTTACAAGCCGTATACTGACTTGCAGCGTGAGTGACACCTCCTGCATGTGTCGTGACACCTCTTGCAGGTGACATTAACCTTTGGTAGCAGACACCGGACGCGCACCACGGAATCGCCCACGGTGTGATGAGTGTCTGCCGCTGTGCTGGTAGAGTTGAGGTTTTCGTCACATCTGTAGTTCAGTTAAATCACGACGGGCAGGTTAATGTGGGAGGGAAGCCCGAAGGTCTTAGCCGCTTAACATTTTGGTGAATCCCACGAGCATGGAATCCAACCCAGACTCAAGGAAGTTTAGACTGACAGAGTCTGACGAGTCTCCTGTGTTAAAAGGTTAGGATCGGCAAGGCTAAAGTATATGTATATCCGGTATAAAGATTGGTTGGTTGGTTCGTTGCTGAATGTCGCACGCAGCAATATTGGCGGCGGTCTGTAAATAATCGAGTCTGGACCAGACAGTCCAGTGATCAACAGCATGAGCATCAGTCTACGCAATTGGGTCACGATGACATGAATCAACCAAGTCAGCGAGTCTGACCACCCAATACCGTTAGTCGCCTCTTACTGAAGACAAATTATAACTCGGATCTTCACGGGTTCCGGTGTACAGAGGTTCAAGTAAATGAGTGCAAGTAAATGAGTGCAAAATGATTGAGTGAGTGAGTGTGTGTGTGTGTGTGTTCGATGTAAGAATGTGCAAGGTCCCATTGTATTCATGCCACGTGTATGGAGGTACATATTGCCATAGTTACACTGTGTATATCTGGTGTGAGCGGGCCCAGATTATGTCTGTAAGGAGGTCTTGATTCCTCATCTGGTGAAAAGATGTTCGGATAAACAAGGTTGCACTCTATGTATGTCCAGTGTAAAGAGGTCCACCATAACAAAAGTCCACTGGGAGCATGACTGCTTATATACATTGCCTCTAACTTCAATAGTATGAATATTCGCTTCGTAAATTTACCATAAAGATTGTCACTCACGGGAAAGACTTGTGGAAAGGCCCCTTTAATTTTAACTGAGAGTACTAAATTGACATTTTCCCCCAAAATACATCAGCCATTATGCAGAATGAGAGAGGGGCCGGTTTGAAGAAAAACAACATCCGCATCTTGCGACTACCTTTTTGTACGACCTGTTGACATAAGACGAATTTATCGAATTTCATTTAAGCTAAGATAACATTGCAATTTAGACTTGGGGGAAATTAGAAAACGTTAAAATAAACAGGCGTTGCACCTTACAAGAGGCTATTCCGCTTAACTATATACGTTTTTATTTCTTATTTCAACAAACGCTTTTGCCATCGAATAATAATGATAATAATAATAATGATAATGATAATAATAATGAGGGTACTTATACTGCGCAATACTCCATACCACAAAGGGGCATGCTCAAAGCGAGCACAAAGGTTTGAAAAACAAACACATAAAAAACATGGTTTATATCACGGTTATATTGCCAAAGAGTATATGACAGGACATATTCCTTCATAAGGGACACAGTCGTCTAATTTGTTGTTCAGAGTTGCGTCCCTTAAGCGTATCAGAATCCTATGCTCATGGATTCAAATCCCAGATTCGAAGCGATTGTGAATTTTGTGTTGTGTCGACACCATACCTGTCCTCGTGGTTGTCATGGCCTTTGTGTTGCACGTGTTAATAACACGTCTTGCACGTGTTAATCTATATATGTTACATCACCGTTCTTATGTTGGTATTTGTGAAGCCCATTTCTGGTGACCCCCGCCGTGATATTGCTGGAATATTGCTAAAAACGGCGTAAAACCATACTCAGTCAGTCAGTCTTATGTTGGTATACCATGTATTCCGGTTCCTACAGGAGTGAATGAATATTCTTTTACGTCGCTTTCAGCAATATGGAACCAATATTACGGAGGTAACACGAAATTTATGCATTCCCTTTTATAATACAGTGTTTGGCGTTTGACACGGTCAGTCTCTCGATCTCCAAAAAGATGTGAGACTTAGCCATAGAACCTTTGTTTCGCTCCATCTTTTAAAGAATAGAAAGTCCATATTTTGCAGCATTCACGCCCCGTGAACCTTTTTCTAGTTCATTAAAGATTTAAATAGTGTTCGTGTCTCCTTTAACACTAATTAAATTGCGCAATGCTTTCAGCTTCCACATTTGAAGAAGCTTACACAATCTACACACCTGGAAGCTGTGTATGCAAGTGCAAGGTTGTAACTATAAGCGACCAAGACCTGTTCCATGATCATATGACAGATCTTCTAAAAGCAGAATCCTCTTAACAGTTCCCAGCATATTATGAACATGTGTTCATGAACAACTGTCAAACTGGGATGATACAAGATAAGGTTAGCGTGTGTTCTGTCCAATCCGGGCACCTGTCACAAACACATGCAAAGGCGTGTCAATCGTTTATCTAAAACGGGAACATATTGTAAGTACAACAATGAATTGCATCGGACATAATGTTTGTCACTGAATCGAGATGGAAATGTCCTCCAACAGAAACGTTTGGAAGATCTCGAATGCTGTAACCTTGATCAAACAAGGGCAAGACTCGTATTACCCTCGTTAATATTTTCGTTGAAGGAGATTGCTAGATTTTAGCTCAAAGTTGTGATATGTAGACACCAAGGCTACGTGATTACTGCTTGACATAAAGGGAAAGTTGACAGTGAGAAAGTTGAACTCATCCTTCCAGCCATACAACCTTAATGAGGGGTTATGTCACTCTCAAACTATAAGATGTGAATTTTCACCATATGAGGCGGTTTCACCTACTTCTAATTCATCTAAGTAAATCAGTCGAAGGGTTATTGAACCGTTTTTGAACGACATCAGATGATCGATATACCTGAAGCTTGATTTAAACTTCCTGGCCTTGTTTTCTTTCACAGCAAACATTGTTTCAAATGCCAAGACTGACTGACTGACTGAGTTTAGTTTTACGCCGCCTTTAGCAATATTCCAGCAATATCACGGCGGGGGACACCAGAAATGGGCTTAACACATTGTGCCCATGTGGGGAATCGAACCCGGGTCTTCGGCGTGACGAGCCAACGCTTTAACCACTAGGCTACCCCACCGCCCCTCAAATGCCAAGAAGACCAGCGGACGCAGAAAGATAGACATACAGGTAGAGATAGTATCAACATCAAGTAATACGACACACCCGACCTTATCACCCACACTGCATATCTTGACCATGTTGAACACAGGTGCTTGTCACTGTCCATTAGTCCAGGGTTAATATACAGGCAGTTGGTTGTGGGCATGTGGACTGTGTGGGTTAAGCGACTGGGTAAACTGTGTTTGTTTTTAGTAACCTGAAACATGCTTTGGCTAGTTCCATATGTCTTGAGCGTGGGAGGTGTCATACTAATTACTAGATAACACTGCTGCTGATCCTGATAGATAGGACTGACTGACTGACTGAGTTTGGTTTTACGCCGCTTTTAGCAACATTCCAGCAACATCACGGCGGGGAAGACCAGAAATGGGCTTCACACATTGTACCCATGTGGGGATTCGAACCCGGGTCTTCGGCGTGACGAGCCAACGCTTTAACCACTAGGCTACCCCACCGGCCCTAAAAGATAGGACTTTTCTAGCATTGGGCCCAGGACTATGAAGGTGAGGCAGTCACCATTTGGTCCACAGATGCATATCGCAAGTCCTTGGTCCTTACTAAAATATTTAGTGTTTTAATGAAACACATATATAACGTTCCGTACAGAGTATGACCAGTTTCGGTTAACATGCATTCACAGGGCGTAAAAGTCAAAGTGACGGTGAAAAGCATGATTGGATTGGTTGTTCGTTAACGTCGTACTCAGCTATATTCCAGCTATATGGCGGCGGGTTGTAAGTAATGGAGTCTGGGCAAGACAATCAAGTGATCAACAGCATGAGCATCGACGCACGCAATTGAGATACGCTGACATGTGTCAACCAAGTCTGCGAGCCTGACCACCCGATCCCGTTAGTCTCCTCTTACGACAAGCATGGGTTGCCGAAGACCAATTCTTCAGGGGTCGCGAAAAGTATGACCTGACCCCTGGAAATCAGTGATGACACCATGTGTTCCCGGAAAGGAGTGAGTGAGTGAGTTTAGGTTTACGCCGCACTCAGCAATATTCCAGCTATATGGCGGCGGTCTGTAATAATCGAGTCGAGTAAACAATCCAGTGATCAACAGCATGGACATCGATCTGCGCAATTTGGAACCGATGACATATGTCAACCAAGTCAGCGAGCCTGACCATCCGGTCCCGTTAGTCGCCTCTTACGACAAGCATGGGTTACTGAAGATCAATATTCTAACCCGGATCTTCACGGGTATCCCGGAAAGGAGGGTGGGCAGGTCATGTACTACCGGTAGATCCGCTCACTCATATAAGTATAAAAAAGAAGTATTTATGGCCTGATGCATGGAAGTCTGGAAACATTCCAGACAATCAAGTGATTAATGAAAAAG